GATTCGATTCAGTATCGATTTCCTGACCCAACGATTCGATTATTTTCGATATTCAAGAATACACCACGATTCGATTCGATTAAATGGTTCATTTTTTTTTTTTTTAACCTTACAGGCTAGACGATGTTTGAAATTTGAAATAAATCAATGAATGCTGTAATATCGTTATGCATTTTTTTTGAGAAACAACAGCAAATAACAGAAGTAGCAAAGTTGTACCAGCAATACCAGCAGTATCAGCAATATGTGCCTAAATTTTATGCTTCCATCCCTCTTTAGTCAATTTAGTGGTTCTTGTGTCTGCTGTGAGCATCTACTGCCATGAGGCTGTCCAGCTGGCCAAATGTTTCCTTACTAGCACATCCAGGATGTCCATATTAGCGTAGCCAGCCGCCACACTCAAATTTGTCACTGCTTCACTGAAACTCAGGCCAATGTTCTGTTCTGTTTTTTGTTTTGTTTTATTGAGTGTAGCATCTGCATGAACGGTGTTTTTAAACACATTTACGTCCTTTATGTCCTTTTTTTGCACATATACGTGAAAAAAAGGTGCTGTGAAGAAGTGAATGTAGCCCACCTAAGACTGTGTCATCGACTCAGATTCCCCCTGAGCTCTCGTTGGCAGGAGAACACATGGAGCCAGCTTTGAAAGCAAGTGATCATGTTCAGAAAGGTTCCCAAACAGCTGATCTTTCAGTCCGAATTGGTTGATGATCAGAGCTGTTTTGTTTGTTGTTTTTATCCCTAACCTAATGAAACTCAACATTGCTGTGCTGGTGCATAGCCGCCTTACCAAGGCTGCAGGTTGATCAGAGAAATGGTCAACCTTTGATAAAAGGGAGTCAAGCATTTAAAAAATACATTATTTTCAGTCAAATAACTCCACTTTGTGTTCAGGTGTAAAAGCATTACTTCAATCATCCACAAAGGAAACGTACACACAGACTGAACCACTGAGGAAAACGGCGCCTCAAACAATTGTTGCAGACAAAACAGAGCCGCATGCAGTACAGTTTTTTAAGCATTCTGAGAAAAAAAAGTCAGAATTCTGACTTTTTTCGTATATTAAACTGAAATAAAATTCAAAAATCAGTAAAAAAAAAAAAAAAATTTCCCCAGTGGATTCCATAGATTTCTTCTGAAATTTCGTATAACATTTGTTATCGTTGAGTCACTTTTATCAAATGTGGTGGAAAAAAAAGAGGGAAAAAAAGCAAGAGTGGCTTCAAGGATTGGGCCTGATTAAAATAAAAGAAATCTGCATTACATATTAGGGATTAATAAGAGTGGTGTCAGAATAGGCCTTAAAAGAAAAACTACCAAAAAAATAGATAGAAAGCCACTAACTAACATCTTTAGAGATGTTTGTAAATGAAAACTTGCAGATTTCCATGATTTTTACTCAATACTTTAGATTAAAGAGAAAATATTGAGTGTTTACATTAAGCATAGAAAGAAGAAAGAACATTACAGGATATAATTCTGAAGAGGCATTAATAAAATCAATAAAAACCACTTCAAGATTTGATATATGGAGATATTAATTCATTAAAAACATTTATTTTTTTATTTTTTAGTACACCCAGAGTTAAGAAGCTCCAGACTAAATGAAAATGTGAAATTTGTTAAAAGTTGAAAGAAACGTGGTTAGATGTCCCTATCTCTGGGAATGACCTAATATCTCCCCCTACTGGACTGATGTGATAAGACTACTAAACTCCTCAGTGGGTTTCACTGTATTCTGCCTCGGAAATAATCCAAATGGATTGAATGAAAATAAAACAAGAAAAAAACAGACAGATACCTCTTAGAAATACCAAAGGCTGACGGCAAAAAGGCCAAAGAACATTTTTGGATTGGATAAACTGATAAATGAACTTTATGCAGCAGAACCACTTACCTTTTTTCCTTCAGTGTTCATCTGATATATACAAACATTTGGAAAATTAGAAGTATTTTCTTGATGATTAGTCACCTTACCTCAGCATGCTACGTATCCATAACTTGTACCAAAACCCAGTTCATTTCTTTTTAATTGCTTCATGGCTTTTTGTGGTGTTTGATTTCTTTGCGTCGGTCCTTGTTTATTTTGGGTTGTTTGATGTCAAATGGAAAATAATTATTAAAAATAAAGTATTAAAGGAAAAGAGTGTTGGTCAGTACCTAAATTAATAAAACCAAACTCAGTTTTCTGTGTTTGTCTGACTTCTGCTGTCAACTTAAGTAGACCTGGTGCCACAGCTACACTTAAAAGTGAAGAACTGCAGGCTTCACTGGCCTTAGTTAAAGGAATAGTACACCCAAAACATGATTAGCCTTCATTTTCTACTCACCCCCATGCTGAACAACACTCTGGAGTACTTTTTTGATATCTCAAATGCATCTGGAGATCTGCCTGCTTCCGTAGCGTCGTGAAGGTGCGGGCGCGCGCTTTCAGGAAATCCTATACACTACTGTTTATGCTCTAAAAACATTCTAAATGACTTCGTTTCGAGTAAATTCTGGATGCTACCCACTCAGGACACTTGGAATACATTGGACGAGCAGTATGGAGGAATATTGACACGTTTTTTGTGGACTTTTATGGACCTTTCTGTCTCGGGCACCATAGACCTCCATTATTTGAATGTCAGCAGACAGCAAGAAGCCTCCCAGATCTCCAGATGCATTTGAGATATCAAAAAAGTACTCCAGAGTGTTGTTCAGCATGGGGGTGAGTAGAAAATGAAGGCTAATCATGTTTTGGGTGTACTATTCCTTTAAGGTGGTGCTCATGACTCCAGTATGAGCAAACAGACGGGGCAGAAAAACTCGTCTCCGGTTTTCCCAGAAGACACTTTGACGGTCATTAAGGCTTTTTGTGAAATAGTCAGCGAACAAACAAGTGAAGCAATATAAGATACGGTGGTGGTAATATTATGGTCTGGGGCTTTTTTGCATACCTTGGGATCAGGAGGATTTTTTCTTCGATGGATGGACAATAAATCCTGCAGGAGATTCTGCAGCCAACTTTGTTTCCTCAAACTAAAGCACTCTTGAAATTCTCCATCAAGCAAAAAGCTCCATCAAATCCACCTCTTAATGGCTGCAGACTAGCTTGGAGTGTTCAAATGTTTCTCAGAACATTTTAGATCACATTTAATAGATTGTGATTCCAGATATAATAAAAATAGACAATAACGTTATAGTTTTTTTCCTTCGTCTGTCTATTGAAGCTTCCCTCACACATGGCTCATCCTTCTGTCTCCCGCAGGTGACGGTGGTGTCTGTGGCTTCCCCAACTTCAAACCCCAGTCAGAAATCCGTAGCTCTGCCTGTCAATGTAGCACTTAGCCAGCAAATCCTGGCAGTCCAGCAGTCGACGCCTGCTTCTCCAGTCAAGGTGGCCACCAGCCAATCAACAGCACAGGTGAGACCGGTTGCAAAATACTAAGACATTTCATAGTTTTTACTTGTTATCAGTTTGAAATGTTGACTGAAACTTCTTTCCTGTTGTCGTCTGAATGGCGTCAGAGCATTAAACCTGTCCAGTCTGTCGGCGTGGGGGGCGGCTCCCAGTTCAAGACCATCATCCCTCTGGCCACCCAGCCGAACGTGCAGCAGATTCAGGTTCCAGGAAGCAGGTTTCATTACGTCCGCCTCGTCACTGCGACCACGGCCAGCAGCGGCGGCCAGCCCAGCACCGTTAACACCAGCTCCGTAGCGACAGGTGAACTGCCAACGCTTTCTTCTTCTTATGCTAAATCTCTCTAGTATTGATGGAGACTCTCACCTAGAGTTTATTGTGCGTTTAATGTGCAGGTAAACCTTTGGTGGTAAACACAGGAACCGTGAGGATGTCTGTTCCTGTCGTCCAAGCACAGACGATGAAACAGGTAACTTAGACCCTGCGATTGCTGAGGGGTGGCTGTGGGAAATGTTCCTCTGACGATCCTCCTGCTTTCTGTTAGGTTGCACCCAAGCCTTTAACATCAGCACCACAGGTAGTCACAGCCACTCAGAACCAGCAGCGCCTCATTATGCCGGCCACTCCTCTCCCTCAGATCCAACCGAACTTCAACCTGCCGCCAGGCACGGTCCTTGCATCGGCTACCGGCGGCAGCAATGTGGGTTACGCAGTCGTTCCAGCACAGTACGTCACCCAGGTTAGCCCTACTCTATCATTTTTTTCTTTTCGTTTTCAGTGTATATAGATCATGCTGTGTTCTAATGAAGGAACATCCTGTCTTGCAGCTCCAGCAGTCGCAGTTTGTGACACTTGCCAGCAGCTCTGGTTTCCAGGCGTCCAGCAGCATCCAAACTCAGGCCAAACTCCCTTACAACGGGTGAGAGAAAACTCCTCACCCATCTGTTCTGTTTTATTGGTGTTTAGAGACGCCATTTTATAAAGGTTTGAAAGTGGAATGTTTATAAAGGAGGATGTTTGCTAACTTAGCTTGTTTGGTTCCCTTATAAATGTGAGATGTTATTAATTTATCTGTAAACACTTTATTACTCTAATAGGTTTTTTTAACAGTGAGGAATAGAGAAAACTGCCAAAAAGTGAGCCAAATATAGCCGTCAATAAAAACATGTGTAGTGTCTGAATTTTTAAATGTAAGACAATAAGAAAAAATACATTTAACGTTTGTATTTTTTTTCTTGTCAGCTCATAGATGCATGAGACATTAGATGTTTTAGTTGTGAGAATACAAATGTAGAGGTTAAGAATGAGAGGTAAAGATACAACTTTGTAGGAAAAACAAGTTTAAAAAAAGAAAACCCAAAGTTATGAGTAATAATTGCACTTTTATGCATATGAATCAGAACCTCATGAATGCAAATTTCAGCACAAAAACTGTATGCAAACATATAACATGATTGTTTTGTGTTTCATTTTCTTCCCCTCTCTCTCATTCAATGCTGTTTGGCGAACAACCTTCAGACACATTACTGCCACCAGCTGGTAAGGAGTGTAACATTGTTTTCACAGATTGTGATTGTTAGTCGTTCTGTAACTTTATATTAACTTTGAAACTTTTATTTTAACAGATGAAACATCTCATGTCACATTTAGATACGAGATAAAAAAAAGTAAAATCTAGAATGAAGACGCGTGTATTAACTCACAGTCACAGATTTATCATGTTATCTTTATCAATACTAATCTGTTCAACTATATATTTCATTAAGACTAAAAAAAGTTACTACCAGAGCATGTGAACAGAGCGGAGCGCCGCGCAATTCCTCAGGAGGATGTTCGCTCATTCGCCCCGCCGTTCAAAGTTTGCGACGCTTCGCTCAAAATCCGCTCAGCGCTCACCCTAATTTTCCTTCTGCTCCGACGAAATCACTCCACACTCACTCAAATTTTCAGGAGAAGGCATTTTCTGACATTTTTCCTTCATGTCATTTATGCCAGGGCCCTGGGACACACGGCGTTTGATTTAATGATGTCACCGATACATGTGTCTTATTTAACTGGCTGTTAAATTATCGCACTGTTTCCAGCTGTGAACGTAACACCTCGCTTATTTCATGTTACCGCGCGTTTCCTATTCATTATTAATTGTCGAAAAAAATCACACTTAAATCACATAAATGTTATTTTAAAAATCGTATAATTCAACATTTTTAATTGATGTTTTTAGCATATCAGAGCAAACCTGGAGCGGAGCAAAATCCTCGCTCTGGCCTTTGAATTGAAAACCGCTCTACACTCCACCATGTTTCTTCCACTCCGCTCACTTGCTCTGGTTAATACCTTGTTTGAATAATAGGCATTTGAAAAAACTTAACTTTAGTGTGCGTTATATGATGAGTGCATAATAAGCACTTATAAATGAGTTAAATTGTTTACAGATAATTAACATGTCTACAAACTATTATCAGCCTTCATAAGCCGAGCCTGATTGTAAAGTGGAGCCACTTTTCAGGTCGGGTATGCTTCACATGTGGAAGTAGCAGCAGAGGCGTCTGCATCTTTGCGTCATCTTTGGGTTCCACTGGAGGTAGCGGCGACCTGCAGCTTCTCTCACCAGGAGCCTCGCCTCGCTGTGCAGTTAGACTCTGTTCACATTAGGATGCATCAGCGGATTACATTAGTGAACTTACAGGATTTAGAGCAATAAACCAGGAAAGTGTTTATTTAAACGGCTCTACCAGCGTTTTTTCCTTCATTCATGGTGAAGTCACTTCAAATATGTAGGTTTTTCAGTTACTCTTTCGATTTAATAGTCATATTTATTACAGCGTTCGATTACCTGTATGAACATCATTCTTTATTTCATAAAGGTCCAGGAAATGCGATCCAGAAGCTGCACATGCAGTTTTTCAACTGGATCTGCTTCAATCCGTTCTGCTGTAGATTTACCTTAATTTTGAGCAAAAACGGAAGGCTGTTTATTTTTAGAGAAGCGGTCGCCGCTTCTGGGAAGCTTCAGAAACGTGTCGTGATGCTTTCAGCAGAACCACTCGGATTGACTAGTAATGCTGCAGTCAGCAGAGGAGTCAGGCGCATGTTTTCTCCCTGCTCTTTTCACACTTTTCCAGTTCTCACCAGGGCAATTCAGGTAACAACTCGTTACGCTTGAAGTTGAGAAAGTTGTGCTGATATTGGGGCCATTAGGCTCAATTTACCCTCAGAAACAACACCATCCTGTGCACATCATGCTCTGTAATCAACCCAGACTCACTCTGCAGCCTTTGGAGGCCGGAGTAGACCCTCTCGCCTTGAAGGATATCCTAACTGCTGGTCTGTTAAGCTAAACCAGCAATTTTATTTATTCATTTTTCAAAATTAATAATCGATACTTGGCATCAAGAATCGATGCAGTAGATCATGAAAATTAGAATCACGATGCATCATCATGACGATTATTTTGCACACCCCTATGGTCAGCGTTGTTTTTTCCCCGTGTTGAACGCAGCATCCCCCACCGTCTCAGGGCCACCATTAGCACAATGCCTCACTTGTTCACACTGATGTTTTGCATATTAATGTAAAGTATGAGAGAATAGGAGGGGGTTCAATTAGAAAAAGGTAAGCAGATGGGTGGGGAAGAGGGGATAGAAATAAAGACTAATTTTAAGGGTTTACACCACAAAAATAATCCTAGGGAGAACCCAGAATTTGCATTTCATAGGAGAAGGCTTTCATTGGCTGAGCACTGCACCACCCCCGCCCCCTACTGTTAGGGAAAACGTTGAACCCACATAAACAGGCACATATGTCTGCACCTTTCACAACAGTAGCTTTTGGTAGTGATGACCTGAGCTCCTCCAGCAGAACTTTCTCACATATTTGTACCAATGTGTTCAGAATCAACACAGACTAACGCCCCGTTAGGCTGAACTGCTCTGCTGACAAGAGTCCTGTTAGAAAACCAACCAACTGAAACTGATTTCTACCCGGCCCCCTTCCAGATGTGGAGCATACCTTCCCCAGACCTGAAAAGAACGTCCTGATATGCTGCTCCAGCTGGAATATTAAGAACAGATGCACTTATTTCATCCCTGTTTAATACGATCCTTTGCTTTGCAGTGTGTCAGCAACAGAGACGACCTCGAGACCCAGGAAACCGTGCAACTGCACCAAGTCCCAGTGCCTCAAACTGTAAGCAGCTGCTTGGAAGCATGGCGCTGGCTATTACATTGTGTTTCATTAATATAAAGGTGTTCTGATTGGATTCAGTGTCAGAAACCCACATTCCTCCCTTCTGGGCTGTTCAGTGGTATATTTATATTGAAAAACGCAAGAAGTGTTTTGTTTTATTTGGAAAATGAATTAAATAAGTGAAATTTCACACATTTGAAGGAATGATTGCAACCTTTATTAAGGCACAATTTCAGCAGTCGCTTACCAGCAGAAAACATCTTTTAACCTTTAATTTGAAAACATTAGAAAAGATTAAAAAATGGGAGTGGAAGTCTGACTGCGTTCGTCTCTCCTTAGATACTGCGACTGCTTTGCAAACGGAGAGTTTTGTAATAACTGCAACTGCAACAATTGCTTCAACAACCTGGAGCATGAAATGGACCGACTCAAAGCCATCAAGGTGGGCTGCAGTTTCTGTTTCTGCAGGGATGTTTGGGTTTGGTCATTTCTGATGGATAAAAAGTTTTTTTTTTTTCTACAGACGTGTTTGGACAGAAATCCGGAGGCCTTTAAACCTAAAATCGGTAAAGGCAAAGAGGGCGAGTCGGACCGCCGGCACAGCAAAGGCTGCAACTGCAAGCGATCGGGCTGCCTGAAGAACTACTGCGAGTGCTACGAGGTGGGTTTTTACCTCCCATCTGGCTGTATGGGGAGAAATTTGATCCCAGAACATTGAAAGCAATGCACACATTTCGAAAATCGAACTTTGAAAAACAGATTATCTTTTTTCAGATTAATTTTCTTGTGATTTTATTCTCTTTTTGTCAAATTCTGTTTTGCAGATTTCACTTTACATTTATTTTTTTATTGTCTTCTTCACAGTATAAATCTTACAAGTCACAGGTACATACTATCAACTGAGTGACATATAATATATATGCTCAAAAGGTGACCAAACTGTGAAACAATGCAAACTTAGACATAATCAGAGATTTAAAATTATGAAAAATGGAAGAAAAAAAAATTTGCTGAACATTTAGCATCTAACCAGGGTGTGTTATACATTTATTTAATAGTTTTCTTGCTTAT